GTGTCTCAGAGCTTAATAGCTCCTATGTTGCATGCTTTTTCTACAACACCGACAATGTTAGGCTGCAAGCTAGCGTTAAGAGGAGTGTGCAGAGGAGTGTGCAGAGCAGCGTTGTCACCGCCCACGCCTCAGAGGCGAATTGCTAATGAGCTACTGGAGCTCTGCAGAAGACAAGCCCTTGAAAACGACACAGGTAACGTGAGTTTGGCTTTAAACTTAAAAATTACAGTTAAAAGACTAATGAGAACACTTGGTAAAAAAAAAAAGATCGGAGTGGAACTTTAAAATCATTCGGACCAAACAATCTCTTTAAACTTTATATGAAAAACCTTAAACCCATATTGCACTGAATTACGTTTTCTTTAATTTTAACTGCTCCTGCTGAGACATGTCTGTCTCACCCTTGATGCTGGAAAAAGTACAAAAAAGCTTCTCTTTTTAGTTTTTAAACCCGGGGAAGCACAGGCAATAAATAGCTCTGCTTTGTCCATCATCACAACGGTCCAGAGGGAAGCTGAAACCAGGGACTTGGTTCCCACTGGCACTTGTGTTGGCATATTTATGCATCCTAAGAGCTGCTGCCTGGGGGCTGCTGATAGAGTGGCTCCTGTGTTGTAAAGCAGCTGATTGAAATCAACTGGAAACCAAGCCTCTCCACCTCTCTGCTCACTCTTCAGCAGAGCAGACTCCAGATGGTGCTGCCATTTACGTCTCCTTTTATTTTGCTTTACTGGCTCCTAGACAACTGGCACTGAGTATAAAAAAGGAGGACAGTGTCTTCGTTGGTGGTTGGAGGAGCACAGTGTTTCCTCTTCATAAGGAGGCCAGGATAGGGAATGAGACCTTACCCTTCACCACTGGATGTCAGAAAACTCTCCAGGATGTGAAACTGATGAAATCTGCAGCAATATGGAGGTTGAGGCTGTAGATGCATGCATTATCTCTCATCTCAGCAGGGGGCCTCAAATTAGTATAAAAATCATTTACGCAAAGTCTCCCAAGCAATTACATCCATATGAAATATTTCTGCACCTCATGATTTATGTCCAAACTACTGTTCCGTGTCAGGGTAAGAAACAGGTTGTAATAGAGACACTGCTTTAAACATCCACACATAAAGGTTATGTTTGTGGGTATGGGGCAAAATCTTCGAAATAGTGTTTGTTTTCTCAGCATTACCATACCTTACACCACTGGCATTAGAGACCAAAAAATTAGTGTTGTCAGAATATTTCACCTGAGTGAATACCACATACCAGTGAGAGTGAATATGAGCTGGCTGATGGGTCTGGAAATGCCAGATTATGATATTCCTCTCAATTTGCAATAATTCATCAGCAATTATAGATGACTGACTACAGCTCATGACACTGTGTCGGAATAAATCTGTTAACAATGGTTTAGTGACTACAAACATTACATCACCGAAAGTTACACTTTAGCCCACTGCAGGCCATGATCAATATTACATATAACCTCTGTCACACATGCACACCTCCACACAAAAACAGCTAACAGTGGGTGCATGGCCTGATAAGTCTGAAGAAGCATCAGTGTCCAAAAACAGAACTTGTGCAACTCACAGGAGTTAAAACACATTCTCACCTTTGTCTGCCTGCAGCACACTGATCAGCTGATACGGTCTATGGAGGAAAAGCCATGTTTACTGCATCTCAGTCTAATTCAGCCACATACTGTCATTATTGCTGGAGAGTTTGATATATATGCTTCGTTACAGCTAACACTGTGTATTTTGATTAAGTAAATAAATCTTGGCTGATTATATTTTGGGAAGAATTACTTTTTGTAGTTCTAGTCGGATTGGGTTTTGAATTATTCTCATTCAGATTCTGAAACTCTCTTAACATTCGGCATTTCTCTTGTTGACTATTGTTACTCTTTTTTATTATAGGGCTTTGTATAAAGTTGATGAAAAAAATAATAAATGTGCACCCTTAAACCTGAGTGAAATTCCAGCACTGCAGTTCAGTGGTCCTCTTAGCCAGTAAATATGGCTGCAAAGGGTGAGGCACCAGCAGCAAGCACAGCCCACTGACGCTCTGCTGTGATTATGTCCCCCCGCCCCAGCCCCTCCCACATGTTGTCAGTGTGTTCAGTGTGTGTTTGTTTGGCGTTGTTTTGATCGCCAGTGCTTGTGTGTTTGGGCTGTGCTGGCTGGGCGGCGAGCAGGCCCGGTGCAGAGCTGATGGCGTGCCAAGTGCTCCCTGCGGGCTGGCTGTGCCTTCCACTCTGCTCAGCCACCGTGAACGCTGGGCCGACAGACTGCTGCAGGGGGAACACCACTTCCTCGCTCCTTCTCTTTCTCCATCACACACACACACACACACACACACACACACACACACACACACACACACACACACACACACACACACACACACACACACACACAGAGCCTCTAACCTAGTCACACATCAGCCATTTTTTTTCCTTCCATCCCCCTCAATCTTTCACTATACACTTTCCTACTTTCACTTTTTTTTTTTCCACTGGAGACAAATTTTAGTTGAATTGAAGTTAAAGATTTTTCTGGGTACACTTTTAAGAGATAAATGACCCTGTAATTATTGTGAAAGCTTTGTAAAGTAAATTAGTAATGGGAACTCTGTAATTCTCAGTCCTGGTGTGAGGTGAATATGTACTTCCAACAGTGTTTTTAGTTTTTCTGAGGTGAGAATTTTTGTAGTTCTATTTTTAACATAACACGATTGGTTTATCCTTACCAGTAACTGTTAGGTCATAAGTGACTTTTCAGGTTGTCCTTGTCATTTCCCATGTCAGTGGAGCCAAAACACAGTTAAAGCTAGATTTTTGTTGTTTTACTTGGCTCATGGCAGTTTCGGAGACCTCTTGTCCCATCAGGGTTTAGCCAGAAACCACTGCCTGAACTCTGAGCAGCAGTCCCCCCTGTTCATTAACATTTAGCTGTAATTACCAGGCTCATTAAAGCATCGAATTAACAGCAAAATTCTTCCAGCCTCCTCTCTGTGCTTAATCGTTAAGCAAATGGAGCATCACAAGTTTGAAGTGATTACTATTGAGATGTAAGTGCCATGGCCCTGTGAAATGTCACTCAGCTGGCCTAAGAGAGAGAGAGAGATAGAAGAGGCTCTGCAAGCAATTTCCTTCCACTTGGTGGGAAAGCTGTTTTGCGTGCTTAAAGGGTTCTAGCTTTAAGCAACACACATCTATTTATTCTGCTGCCCAGCGCTGTGAGAACCAGCTTCTATAGAAGGTCAACAACATTTACATCCAGGAAAAAAGGCTGACAGCTGCTCACCTGTCAGGCCAACTTCTTCAGCATTGTAGTCACTCCCACCACAGGATCACGTTTACCACCACAGACTCACACAGTACACACAGGTGCTTGCACATGTACACTACACATTCATTACACATGCACCAGAAAACACTCACACACACACATATATTGACAACCACACAATGCTGCTCAGTATTCAAGAGGTCAAGATTAAACGGCTCTTTCATTGGATGATCCTCCTCGGTCACAACCTTGAATAGGAAATGTCGGATACATTGATTGGCTCATAGTTCTGAGAGAATAAATACAGCTCATTAATGGGGGGTTCTGACATGCAGATGAACACGAGTAGCACCATGCTCCTACCCCACAGAAATCAGCCTTCACAGTTTATGGATTAAGACAAATAATTGTGATTTGAAGTGATGCAGAACAGAGCCATATTGTAGCAAATTCAGCAACAGGAGAGTCTACTCATTTCCGCATGTTTGATTATAATGTGAATGAGACGTGTAACCCCGGCAGGTATGCGCTGGCGCTGACTTCAGTACCACACCATCTAATCGAATGTATAAATATCTACCTGTTTTTTGTTTTTTGTTGTTTTTCCCCATGATAGAATCTAACAACCCATTTTCTACCAATTATTATGATTATATGGTCCGTATTGACTAACATGACCCTGATGCTAATTTCTTTAACGGATTCAACAGAGTCGAATTCAAGTACTGTAAATATTAGAAGAGGTATTTCACATGCTGAATGGTAATGTATCCAATAAGTCCAGATTTTTTTCTAAAATCTACTCAAACAAATGCAGCCTTCCCAAGCAAAATATTCAGCTAATACATCTCCTGCCACACTTAAAATATGAATTCTCAGTCATTACATTAACAGAATGTAGAAAGAAGAGAGTTGGAAGAGGTGTTGCTGTGTTTGTTCATAATCAATATCAGAATAAGGTAAGACTTGGATTTGATCACAAATGAAACTGAGGATGATTTTTTTTCATGTCCTGTCTTCTGTGGCAGAAATGTCATAATAAAATGTATTTATCGTCCACCTCATGCAGAAATCAGTTCCTTCAATGACACACTCACAACTGTAAGGAGACTGGGGATAGTTGCAACACTTTTGCTTTTCTCTCAATTACTCAGAGATGATTTGGATGAGGCCAACCATTTAATTATATAGTAAATTTACATCTGTCTTCTAATTCCCCATACCATTAATCCATTAATGCATCATTGCATAACACAGATTTTTCACAATATTCAAATTAAAAAAAAAACCAAAAAAACGTTGCAACACCCCCCCCCCATCAATGGGACAGTTGCAACACTACGAACCCTTGGTTCCTGTTAATTTTAAGCTCCATCCAGCCTACTTTGTCCCCCAAATGGACATACTGATAAGTGTTCATAAAATAATCCTTTTTTAACTTTTTTTAAAAACTGTTTTCATTTCTTACCTTTTAAACGACTTCAGCCCTGACCCTTCAAAAATTAAATAAAAAAATAACCGCGTAAATCATCATGGAAAAAAAAACAAAAAAAAAAAAACACTTGGACAGTAGGGAGTTGTAGTTTTCTACTTATTGTATTCTGTCATGACTCATGAATTATTATAATAAAAACATCTTTGCCATTAGTGTGGTGCAGTTATTCATTTTTATTTGTGCAAAAATATCATCAAATGTTAACATGCATGCAAAATGGTCAAAAATGTTCAGACAGAATCAAAACATGAAGGCTAATTTACAACTGCTTTGAGACATGACAAGGTGTACAAAGGTAGTCCAGAAAAGCTGGGTCTATTGGGTCTAGCAACTGTGTTAGCAAATCATCCAACAGGATAATGTTTGTTTGTGTAAAAGTATAATATCATTAAATCATTTAAAGAATCTAGAAAAATATCTTTTTAGCAAAGCCAAATAGCAAATAGTAGATGATCCTTGGAGCCTCAAGCAGCACTGCAGAAAAAAAAAACAGACATGACTTTTTAGTGGAATTCACTGCATGGGCTCAAAATCACAACCACTATCGATATGTTGCTCACATTAAATCTAGAATAGGCATGTTTTTGCATACAACTTCAATTTACATATTAATCTATAATGTGTTGTCTTTGTGCTTTTTAAATTAAAAAAAGGGCGTAATGGTTTTGAACAATAAAACTTTGTTTTTATATGCATTGACCATTTTTCAGTCTTTTTCAGGTAAAATTCTCAGGTGAATTCTATTTCACTCTTCACAAGTATTTAGTTTGGTTTAAAAACAACACTCAGGTTAAGGGCACTTGTGTCATGTATGAAACTCTGTGTGGAGCTTTAAAAAGTATATTAATGAATAAAAGTGTTCTTCAACAGTCTAAAAAACATCTAAAATTGCAACTTGAAGCCCACTGAAAAGTTGATGAAGTTCCCTGTTGCCGTTCATGGGGTTGGAAAGGCCACGGGTGTTTGACTGAAAAGCAGCGGGAGACTGAGTTAATGTGGTGTATCGCTATCCAAAAGACCCGGTCCCATTACAAGCCACTCATCCCCGACAAACTCTCTCATGACTCTTCCTACCTTTATACTTCTATTTCCATCTGTCTCTCTAGGTCTCACCTCTCTCCATTTCATGGCTGTTTTCTTCCTCTATTTGCTTGACAAGACAATGGATAATAACCCTGGAACAGCACAGAGACGGGCAAATGAGAGTAATCAAGCTGTCTTGTCCTGGTGGCGTTCAGGTTCACACATCAAAGCCTAATTATCACCCTGGAAACCAATGTTCCGCTTTAATTGTTCTGATGAATGAAATATTATAGAGAGGAGTCGGGCTGCAGCCGAGCGGAATAACAGCTTTTAGCCATAAAACACAGCAGAGGAGGAGGTGGAGGAGGAGTGAAGGTGACTCAGGAGAGAACCAGGCATAGTGTGAGAGAGCTGGCAAAGGTAATGGATAAATAGAGTTCAGCATGACAGATGTGAGAAAAAATGGAAGGAACTCTGAGAAATATGACAGTGACGGCGTTCATGGAGCTGAGCAGATGATTCAGGCTGAGAAAGTTTAACTGCAGTCTAATTGTTTCAGGATGGCACACAAGGAAGAGTCTGGACAGTAATCCAGATGGATGGCACCCAGAGTATTTTTTCACATGGCTCCCAGCTGAGTTGTTCTAATAAAAGAAAAGAGAGCTGAGTTATGGGGCCAACATCTCTGAAACTGCCTCACTTGTGCATCACTACCTTTCAAAACACACATCAGTAATCATATCCTAATAATGAACATGTCAGTGGCTTACAGCATTTATCTCAATAACACGTGCAGTATGTCATATTTTGTGTCATGGTACTCATGATTAAATAAAATGTTGTATTTTAACATTTTTTTCTTCTGTCTCCGTCTTAAATTGGGTTTAAGACATCATATGGCAAACAAACAGAACCAAGAGGGCATGTAATGAGACAGTTGTGAACAACATCTGTCCTCTTTGAGCATTCAAAAATGCCTCTTAAGGCTAACAAAGGGAGGTTAATGAACAAATAGAAACACATAAGGTCTTGTCTTCATATGCAAATTTTTAAAAATTGATGGTACCTGAACTAGACCCCAGGTATTCCTCTTTTCTGTCAATGATTGGTGAATTGTAGGAGTGCTCTGTCATCGATGGTGGGGTGTATAGGTCACATCTGCAGGTATTTTAAAAAAATCATTACTAATATTAGTGTCTTGACAGTTCCCAGAGTAAGAGGAGCAGAAGTCTTTAAATAACACACACACACACACACACACACACACACACACACACACACACACACACACACACACACACACACACACACACACACACACACACACACACACACAATCTTACCTGACCAACAGTGGACTATCAGCCCAGACTGACCAAGAGTGGACCCCTATTTCTGGTCATTTTAATAAAACAAAAATAGAATAGAAATTTTTCTTTTTAGGTCTTTTACTACAATGTAACTTGAAATGTGACTTAATTTTTTTTTTTAAATTGCCAAGAGGGGACCCCTTATATATTTCATTGTGCTGGGTGCAAATCACTTGAGTTGAGACGTTTTCTTCAAGAAATTTGCTACATTTCATAATCTGAATTCACTTATCGTATACTAAGGCACCAATGACTGTTTCAGATGTTAGGTAGATGTATTTATGACATTTGAGAAAGATTTTGTCTTGCCAGAATAAACATAGCAGTTTCGACAAGCAAAAACAGCAGCACCATATAATTGTGTTTTGTGTTACTCACATATATGTACATTTCTGGCTGGTGACAAAAGTCTGACAGATAGTCTAGGTAGATATTTTAACCCAAAGTCCAGAATGGTATTGTCTATGCAAAAATGCATTGAACAAGCAGCACCAGCGTAGTTGAACGAAATTCACTTTCTAGGCACTTCTAGGCAGTGAAGTTTCTTTCACAGAGTTTCAGATGCCGTGGACATGGATGCATCGGCGATGCTGCCTGAAGGGTTTGACTGACCTGCGACTGCATCATGTTCTTGTTTCTCAAACGCCTTTTGCAAATAAATCACTGGTAGCATGTCATGTGAAACCCAGCGTCATCAGGAACATTGTCAAAGTCGATATCAACGCAATGTTTATAAGTTTCTGCAAGGTCCTTAGTCTCACCGTGTAGAGAAAGCAACTTTCCAATACTAGTTCTGTAAGTTTCCCAACGTGTCCTTGTAAAGTCGAGAACCCTTCAGGCAGCATCGCCGATGCATCCATGTCCAAGGCATCTGAAACTCTGTGAAAGAAACTTTGAAGGCTGTTTTCTTTTTTCCTTTTCTTCCTCTTCGCTTGTCTCACTGCTAGATGCGCTCGTTGCCATGTTTGTGTATTTCTGATACTATGGCAACGAGACTTTGCTCCTATTGGTCCACATGACAAAAATCGCTTCACCCCTCTGCATATTTGATTGCGCGTGTGCAAGTATAACTATGCCGCAGAAAGGAAATAGTTCAACACCGAAAGACTGATTATTAGAAATCTACAGGATGGCATGAGTAGATATTTTTTTTTAGTACTTACTATCAATAGAGCTATTTTATGAATCACAGTTTATGTTGCCCCACTGAAGTGGAACGAACCAACACGATCTCGCTCAGCCAATATGTCACAGGACAGTTGGGACTGATTTTATTGATTGTTTTAGTGTGTATATTTTAGAGTTTTATCATTGCATGTTTTTATTCTCTTGTGTTTTTAGTTGTGTTTTAAATTTCCCACTGCCTGTGAACGCACCACTTGAGCAAATGCACTGCACCTGCGAGGTTCTCCCGTTCTCCCCACAGACCCAATCACGGCGGAGGAGGAGGTTCCCGACCGGAAAAAGGAAAGGAACAAAAGACCGTGGAGCCACGATGACGAAAGACGGAGCTTGGTAGGAGAAGGCAGCCGACGCCACAGAAGACCGGGAACTTCGAGCGGGGGGAGAAGACGACAGAAAACCCAGAACGCTACAATACGTCACACTCGCAGCGGCAGGGCTTCAACGCTCTGCCTGGTGTGTAAGTACCCTTCGGGATAATTAGTCGCGTTCTGGTGTGGCATCTCTAGGAGAGTGTCGATACTGGCATTAATTTCGTGTGTTCCAGGTGGCCTCCATGTCGGAAGGAACAGGCACTGGAAAAAGACACTAGCTACAAGTCCCCCCTCCAACCCTGTGCACCACTTTGGGTCTGGCTGAATCCCTCTTTTTAAAACAGAGACTTCTCGTTTTTATAAACAATATTCCTGTTGGCTTTTTAACCTCTGTCGCCCCAATTTAAACCATTTTATCAGGTTTTTACCAGTTGGTCTTACTGTCGTTTTAAGAATAAGCTCTGTCAAAATAAAACCTTTGTATATGCACTGGCATCTCCGCCCTCTGTTTTTAAACTTGTCACCGTCAGTCTTCTCACCCGATTAACAGAATCTGCAACTTATCCATAATTATTTACCAATCACCATTTTTCACATCCCACTCCTTACAAATACAGCCTAAGTGGAGCTGTATGTCTGTGAACCCATTCACACTGCTGATAAGAGCTTGTTTACCACGAACACTTTCTTTGTTCTTTAAAGAATGGCTGATTTAACCTATATGTGGTAAGTATTTAACTTTTCTCTGAGACAACTATTTAGAAAATATTTGGGCCCCATTCATCCTGTGGATTATATTTTCCTTTATAGCTGCTCTAATAATAATTATTTGGTGTCAGGAGAAAAACATTTTCCAGTCTTTGGCAGATTTTTTAGTTTAGTTTAGTTTAGTAAAATATTTATTTAGGTGGGACAGTGTACATTCATGGGCATGTTCACAATACAGAGTACTGTATTCGTGATTGCCAGAAATACAATACAGTAAACAGTACAATAGAAATACTAGGGATAGTACACACACACACACACACACACACACACACACACACACACACACACACAAATAATTACCAGCTTCAGCTTACATCATGTGCACTCCCACAAGTGTACATCCCGGAAACAGACACACAAATATAGGTTCAACAAATCAACACCAATCTCTTCATCTGCCTCCCTCTGTGTCTCATTGACTACAGGAGATGAATGAACCTCCTTCCTTGGCACAGATGGAGTTGTAGTAGCTGGATGTGTGGACAGAGCCTTTGAAGGAAGGATGTCCAATAAAAATCAAATGAAGACACATGCAGGGTCTTACATAATTAATCTGAAAATAAAGCTCCCATGAGTAGGTTTTTACTGATCATGAAACCAACATGAATGGATATTGCTGTTTGTTTCATATGGCTAGAAAAAGCACATGAACATCAGCCAAAAGAGAGTGAGGATATTCCATACTGTAATTTTAATGCCAAGAGTGTTGTGGGGTAGGAGGTCGAATGAATGTATTACATGCAGGTATTCTACATTCTCCATGTCAACAAATCAAAAAAAGTATTTGTCAGCCACCGATTCTGCAAGTGGTCCAACTTGAAAAGATGAGAGAGGTCTGTAATTTTCATCATAGGTAAACTTCAACTGTGAGAGACAGAATGTAAAAAAAAAATCCAGGATTATGGTGCAAAAATTCAGGAAATCACATGCAGAAAATAAGTATTTGATCAATAACAAAAGTTCAACTCAATACTTTGTATTGGTTGGCAATAACAGAGGTCATGTGGTGAGACGCCTCCTCCTTCTGTTTTATTTTGGCTGGACTTCCTGTGTTTCCGTGTTTGTCTGGTTGGCTTGACTTCCTTCCAGGGCTCCCTCCCCTCCCCCGGTCGCGGAGGCTGAGTGAGACTACACACCTGCTCTACATCTGCAATCAAGACACTTCAAGAAGCCAGCAGCCCTCAGTCTCAGCGCCTGAGTATTGTCTACCCTTCCAACTGGTACAAACGCGTCTCCTGGCCTTCCTCGTTGTATACATACTTGTAACTCTGCTCCTTGTGCTCCTTTGCATGTCTACTCACTTCTCTCTCCTCTGTTTCTTCCTGCAGTGTCTCCAGCCCACACGACAGCCAGCCAACCAGCCTACCGGACTTCCTCTTTTTGCCTTTAAAACCTGAGTTGGACATTAAAATTACACCTTAAGTTGATCTCTGTCTCTGTGTCTGCTTCTGGGTCCTCACAACTCACCAGTCACGCCACAGGTCAAATGTTTCCTGTAGGTCTTCACCAGGTTTGCACACAGTGTAGCTGGTATTTTGGCCCATTCTTCAAGCAGATCTTCTCAAGAGCTGTGATGTTTTGGGGCTGTCGCTGGGCAACATGGATTTTCAACTCCCTCCACAGATTCTCTATTTAATTGAGGTCGGGAGACTGACTAGGCCACTCCAGAACCATGAAACGCTTTTTACATAGCCACTCCTTTGTTGCCCCGGCGTTGTGTTTGGGATCATCGTCTTGCTGGAGGATCCAGCTATGTTTCATCCTCAGTGCTCTCACTGATGGAAGGAGGTGTTTGCCAAAAATGTCATGATACATGGTCCCATTCATTCTTTCCTTTGAACAGATCAGCCATCCTTTCCCCTTTGCAGAAAAGCAGCCCCAAAGCATAATGTTTCCCCATTCTTCACAGTGAGTATGGTGTTCTTTGGATGCAACTCAGCATTATTACCCCTCTAAACACGGCAAGTGGCGTTTATACCGAAGAGTTCCATTTTGGTCTCATCTGACCACATGACATTCTCCCAATCCTCTGGATCATCCAGATAGTCTCTGGCAAACTTTCGATGGGCCTGGACATGTGCTGGCTTAAGCAGGGGGACCTTTCGAGCACTGCAGGATTTTAATCCGTGACAGTGTCCATGATTGTGTGTTACTAATAGTAACCTTTGTTACTGTGGTCCCAGCTCTCTTCAGGTCATTGACCAGTTCCCCCTGTGTAGTTCTGGGCTGTTTTCTCATTGTTCTCAAGATCATTTATACCCCATGAGGTGAGATCTTGCGTGGAGCCCCAAGTCGAGGGAGATTGTTAGTGATCTTGTATTTGTTCCATTTTCTAATAATTGCTCCAACAGCTGATCTGTCCTCACCAAGATGCTTGCCTATTGCAGATTGGCTCATCCCAGTCTTGATCAGGTATATTTAAGGGTATGGACAGTTTGTGGCGTGTGGTGTATTTTGTGGACCCAGAAGCAGACTCAGAGGCAGACAGCAAGTTAAAGATGTATTTTTTAGTGTCCAAAACACAGGGGAAAAGGCACGAGGAAAGTCCTGTTGGCTGGCTGACTGTTGTGTGGGCTGGAGACTCTGTGGACAAACAGAAGAGAAGGAGGTTAGAAGACATACGAGGAATCACAGTGAGCAAAAGTCACAAGCACTTAGCCAAGGAGAAGGCCAGGAGAGGCGCTCAGGAGCGAAGACAATACTCAGGCACTGAGACTGAGGGCTGCTGGCTTCTTAAAGGGCCTTGATTGTAGATGCAGCACAGGTGTGGAGTCTCGCTCAGCCTCAGTGACCGGGGAGAGGGAGCATGCTCTGGAAGCAGTCAAACCAGACCAAGGTAGCAAGGAAAACAGGAAGTTAAACCAGAATAAAACAGGAAGTGGAGGCGTCTCACCACACAGGTGTCTTTTATACAGATAATGAGTTCAAACAGGTGCCATTTATTCAGGTAACGAGTGGAGGATATAGAAGAGCTTCTTAATAAAGAAGTAACAGGTCTGTGAGGGCCAGAATTCTTGCTTGTTTGTAGGTGCTAAATACTTATTTTCTGCACCATTATACAAAGAAATTCTTAAAAAATTGTACAATATGATTTCCTGGATTTTTTTACATTGTGTCTCACACAGTTGAAGTGTACCTATGAGTGTACACCTTTCAAGTGGGACCACTTGCAGAATCGGTGGCTGCCAAATACTTTTTTTCCCCACTGTACATGATGAATCTGTGCGTCGCCGAAGAAGCATAAACAAGTAGCTGATGTTTCCTGTTACTGACTGTATATTAAGTCTTTGTCCCAGCACTCATCATCAGTTATCTTCTGAAGAGCCTGATTTGGAACAGAGATGGATTACTTTTCTACGCCCTCTAAACAAATAAACTTTATGTAAAGCCTCAGCAGACACTTGTGTAACACATTAGAGAAGCTTCGGAGGAACGAGACAGTTTAACAGTTAACATTGAACTAAAGCAAAGATCTTATAAATGAACTTATAGAGTTTGCTTGCTCCTATAAGAAGGAAACGACTGAATGGAAGGGACTCAGAAAACTTTGCTGATTGCGTGACTGGCCTCCCTGAACACCTTTGCTCATGGTAAATTATGGAGCAGATGTAACCAGTCCTGTAAAAACTATTCTTTACTCTACATTATTCATCTCTCGTGAATACATAATGGCTTTTGCTTTACTGACAAGTGTACACAAGACACATGCACATGTAAATTTATATACAGCAGATTTATTTGTCAATAGAAAGTAAACTACGCATGATAATTTCAGCATCAATGTTTGGATTCTCTTCTCAGGAAGCCTCCAAGTCTAACACCATGATCACCAGCTCTTATTTTTTGCTCATTTATTTAGATAAACATAGCTCCACATTCCTTAACTAACTCATTTAAATGCATTTATTTTCAAACTGTGCAAGGAGAAAATCCTCTTTTATCTGTGGTGTAAATCTGCTGTTATAATTTAGCTGTTGCTGAATGTAAACAGAGTCCTATTCACACAGTGATGAGTGCAGGGCGTCCTCTAAAGTCGCTCTGTTGCAGTGTGCACCACTGGCTGCAATTTGTCATGTAGAGAAAGAAGAAAAGCAAACAAACTAGTAACTGCTGGTCATAAATCACTTCTAAATTGCATATCCAAACTATTAGCTAACAAGGCGGTCAGCAGGCCGGGCTCACTTCAAACAACAGAAGCGCAGCTTATGAGACAAATGCCGAGCAGCAGAGATCAGAGAGTAAGCATGTACTTAAAGGAAGACAACATTTCCTGCTTAATGTTTCTGGTCCTTGAGGTTCAGTTTACAGGTCTGACTGAGCTGTCTCAGCTGATGCCCAATAAAGCATAGCTTCAGTTTATCACACCACCAGGCAGAAGTGAACACCACAGCTTTGTATCATAAATAACACATATCTGGACTCTGGGGGCTGGAACAAACATTGCTTGCATGTCAATATATTGGCAGCATGAAGTTTTACTGAATGTGAAGACAGTGAAAATGGGATAAAACAACTGCAACTAGACTCATTTACCTGTTGCTGCCATACTTATCCAGTAAGTGCAGTATTTTCTTTTTACTTTCACCCTGTTTTAATGATGGCTGACTTATACTGAGTATGGAGTTGTTAAAGAAGAAAACCCGCTAACTACCAAACTCTTGAAAAGGAGTTTAGCTGGCTGATTACCTGTGTAAACACCTCCTCAGTAAAACAAACAAACAGAAACAAAGGAATGGAAAGAAATTTTCTCAGAAGGTATTCAAGATACCATGACATCTCTCTAAAAAGTGTGATCTAAAAAAAAACGTCATGACATACATCAGGAACCATAAAGCTGGTACTGTAAAAACTAGTGCCACACATATTTATAAGTCTTGTTCCTGTCGAGGGCAACAAGTCCTTGTGTCTTATCTGCAGTCCAGCTGCGTAGGTTGGTCCTATCAGCAGGCTGTTATCTTGGTGCCCTTTTAAACCTCAACACTGTATGAGCTACCTGGGCCTTATCAGCTGCGTCCTCCTAGAGAAGGATCCATGGCCTCCGGGCCTTCACCGACCCTGGATCGACCTCTCCTTGGTTCTCCTCCACTCCTGTTGGCCTGTTTAACCATGGAAGGCTTTAAGTCTCTCTCCCTCTTCATTTCCTCCCATTCTCAATACCAGGTACTAATCAGATGTAAATTACGTGTGGAAAAATGGAAAGGAAAAAATAAAAAAATAAATTCTTTGATTGTAAATTTTGGACATAAGGATGTCATGTACCAAACACATG